ATTTTTTTTAATGAAATTTTATTACAATAATATGATTTTATGGTATCTTTTTACCTAATTTTGAAAAATATAGTTGATAAATATTTTTCTTTATAAATTTATTAAATATTTTTAATAAATTATTTCCACATTATTTTATTATTAATATTTTAAAATAATAATAATACATATCAATTTTAACTAAAAAAAGAGTTCTAATATTATTTTATTTAATTAAAATTCAATTCAAAATTTAAAAAAATTACCTATTAAATGTTAAAACTAACGAATACAATTGTTGGAAAACTTAGCTCTTAATTTTTTTTAATCAAGTTAGTAAATTAATGTTACATTTTCATGCATTACTTTCATTCATCATTATCATTTTCAATTTTTTTATTAAGTTAGTAAATTAATATTGCCTCTTCATATGACTTTCATTTATTATTTATTTTCTATTATTTTTAATTTTTTCACCAGACGCATCTTTTTTTATTAGATATATATCCTAATTAACGTATAGGGTAATATTTTATATAATATTAGTTTTTTATTAGATAGATATCCTAATTAATGTATAGAGTAGTATTTTATATAATATTAGTTTTTTATAACTCGTGTGTTGTGTAGAATTTAATTTTTCTTTTATATGTATATTGTATGATTTTCTTATTATTATTATTTTTAGAGTTTTTCTAACTAAAATCCTTATGGTATAAGTTAATGGTGCAATTATTGTATATTTTTTAAAATAAATAAAAATAAAAAAAATAAAAATGGACATTTATTTCAACACTATTTAATTAAAATTAAACGTGTTACATTGGTGATGAAATTAATGATATCTCTCTTATTTTTCAATGCTAATTAATGTTAAAAATATACAATAATTACACTTTTAACATGTGTTCTTCAATTAGAAAAACTCTTATTTTTATAATAAAATTATTTTTAAAATGAAAGTTGTATTTGTTAAACAAATTGGAGGATGAAAGTATTGGAGTTTTTGGCATTATATATTAGAAAATATATTTTTTACCTTAAGGTA